TCTTCCTTGATGATTTCACGAATTTTTTCAACATTTTCATGTGTTCGGGTCGTGGAAGGACGGACCAGAACGAGGTTTGTCATCAATTGACATTTCACCATTTTTGAAACTGGAAAACCACTCAAACACTTGAGTTTTCCCCATAGCATCGTCCTTGTATGCCGTTTTTAACATTTCAAGAGTTTCTGTTCCACTTTTCCCGAGCAAAAAGTAGAATTTCACCGCCGCACGCTGTTCACGAAAATCAGCCATTGCAAAAATGACGATCACACAAAAGAGTTTTCACCATAAACTCTGCCGAAACTAGTCCTTACCTTCTGAAGCAACGGTAGTTGGCTTATCGACTCAGGAATGTTAGCTTTATGCGCTCATGGCGGCAAAACGCGGTACTACAAAAGCTCTGCCCACAAAAAAAATAGTTCGGTTTCTTTTGGGTACCCCATCGTACTTAAGTAAAGACGTACATCAACTCTGAAAGATGCCAAGGAAATAGTGCTATGCATGCAGTCTTACCACATTTTACATTGTTTTGTAGTGGCAAAAAATTACTCAATCAATAACACTATTGCAGACCAAATGCACGATTTATAAGAAATGATATCAAAATTGTTCTTATTTCTTATAAGGTGAGGGGACAACTTTCTTGCTTGCTTACATAATTTATCACTCCACTAGTATGAAAATGTGAAATTTATAATATATTATCTATTTTTCTCAATATTTTCAACTCTCTGTTTCTACAGTATGCTCTCAATTATCCATCAAAGATTACCTGATTCTGGAGTGCCTATTAAGTATGCTCAGTCCATCCATCATCTATAGTCATGAAATATCTGAAGAACTGCTGAATAGCATCATGGTGAAATTCAATATTGGTGAATTTTACAAATGACTGTCAAGCCATTTCTGCTCCTTTTTAGATTGAGCAATTTTGATGACCATATTACACAAAAACAGACATTTACTCATGCATGTATATCACAAATATAACTAATTAACATTTATTGGAGCAAAAATAATTCAAACAAACACTGTAAAGGAAAATAAAACCATTATATGTGCTCAGTATACTTTTTCATATGTTTTGCTATTTTTGAGATAATTAATAAATAGCCTATCCATAATTCCTACAGTTTTCAAGCTGTATATAAGGGGTGGGCCATAAAAAATTAACAATAGTGGGGGGGAGTTTTTTGTTTGCTTAATTTTTTATTTATTTTTTACTTTGGCTTGTTCATCCCTGTTGTTTCTTCTTGAGGTACAGTATAGTTTTAGTCTTGCTTGAATATTTATTATCTATTCATTTTATCCATGAGCATTTGCATGATTAAATGTTTCTAGATGGTACAATGATTTTATTTATTCAATTATTTATTTTTGTAGCAGACCTTTCTACATATAAGGTAACTGTAAAATATCACACACAGACATACACATACAGACATAATAAAAACTATGTTGTTTGCCAATGTTGAAAGGTGTGAAAAATCATGGCTATGTAAATTTATATGTGTATAACAGGAACTGTGGGGACTTAAAGAAATGCAGACCAAGACAAATGTTTTTCTGCTTCACTGATTATCAAGGTTCATTACACACTCATTCTGTTTTGCTCACTAGTGTACATAATAATCTGACATACTTGAACTGTTGCCTGCGTGGTGTAAGTGGAGAGCCCTCACTGATCTGTCCAAACTGATATGTGGCAGTCCCATTCACTTTGCATGTGTCAATTCTTTTCCGAGGTGGATCACTGGACTCTGACCGAACACGGACAATTGCCTCTGTGTCATCCTCAAATGCTGGGCGGCGGCGCTTTCTCTCCAGCAGTAGGAAGTAGATAACTTTCTCTGTGTTATGGCTGTCACACAGAAACCAGAATTTATTAGCATCATGCCTGGAGTCATGGATCAACAATATAATTAAGCTTTATGACTATATTTTTATGAAAAATTATAACAGATTACATGATGTGGATTGCCAATGAGGATGAACTAGAGATTGTTTAAAACATGACAGACAAATGTGACTAAAGAATAGTGAATATTTAATACTGTTTTATGTTTGTATTTTGATGGCATAAAATATATGCTATTAAAAATTATTGTTAATTAAGTTGTACATTATTTAGTGTTTTCATAGGGTAGAATGGATCAGAATGAAGAAAAGAGAACAGAGTGAAACAAAATAATATAAATGCCATAAATCCAACTCTGAACATGCTTGAAAACTGATGTATGGTATGCAGACAACATACCATTAACTATATTACTGATGACTGTCAATGCACTTTTACATCATAAGAATAATTTTCAGTGTAGAACATAGTTTATACCATAAATGAAATATTCATTGGTTCATTTGGGAAAGACTCTAACAGATTTAGAAAAATTATATACAAATTAAAAATCTCTATACATAAAACACTTAGGTATATTTCTGTTCCTCACCAGTTGGAATGAATTCATGGGAATATCCATGGATATGATGGCTGTTATGACACAAAGCAAGTAACTATAGAGAACATACATGAGAGTACAACTGTACAATGGCATTCACATCAACAGGTGTGGACATTAAATCAGCACCTTGAAATGGTCCATAGTCTTTCCAGATACACAACCAGATTTACCACTTCATCTCACTACTACAGTCAAATGGGGCAAATAAGCCAGCACAGGGACAACTTTATATTTTTGTTTCTGCTGAAGCAGCAATAAAATGGGTTGAAAACCAAACAAACCAAGGGTGTATGACCAAAGTAATCCAATGACTGCATAAGATGCTGTGCAGTCTAAGGCTTGAGCTGTCTTCGCCCGCTCAAACACTGGAATTGTGAGTTTCAATCCCACTCAAGGCATGGATGTCTGTCTGTGTGTTTACTCTGGGTTTCTGTCATTCTGTGTGTAGGTAGCAGCCTTGTGATGGGCTGATCCCCCATCCAAAGAGTACTACTGACTGCGTATGGGTTAAGAAACCGAAAAAGTGGCCATGGTCCTCAAGGGCTGTAGAGTCATAGACAGATAAAGATGGCTCGGAAGTCATGAGTCACGAGTAAGAAGTCGGAGGTCAGAGTTGCTGGTTAGAAGCTTGAGATGCACTGTTAGATGCCGCTACCATATGACTTCAAAAGACATAGATAGAAGACTTAATGTTTGCAATAGTCATTTGCTGAGTGTGTATATCAGTGCAACTGTCATAATTCTTTGTAGTTACAAGTTATAAGAATCCAGTAAATCCAATTATCAATCCAAACTCAATGTCTTGTCACAATACATGATAATACCCTATCAACAACCTGTCTCCAACAAGATAAGCAGGCTTCTGGCTAAATACACCATTAAGACAATTCCCTTTCCTGCAAGAAAAAATATCCACATGCTTAGACCAGTAAAAGACAAACTAGGCCTGAAAGTCATAGGTATATAATGTATCCGATGCAAATGTGGCAAAGTGGTTGTGAGACAAATGGGCTGAACCCCTGAAACCAGAAAAAAAAAACACAAGACACATACTGTATGTCCCGACAAGCCACAGAAGTATGGGGTGGTGTGGCATGGCATGTACTTGAATTGGGGTTCAATATCAACTTCAGCAGCACCTTCATACTGATGGAGCACCAGGATACATGGTCCTATTGATAAAGGAGGCTATCAAATCAGGCTGCACACCAGAAACTTAACAGGGGCAAGGGTCTTAATCTCACCGATATATTGGGTTCTTGGACTTTATCCATCGTCCTGGTTTTTAAGATAACTAATAAAAAAACGACGTTTCGGAAACTGGATCTGTTTCCATCCTCAGGTGAAGGATAAACCTATTCTGTTGGGTCCGTTAGAAAGAGCTAGCCTCAATCACTGGATCACTGGACCAATCATCCAGTGATTGAGGCTAGCTCTTTCTAACGGACCCAACAGAATAGGTGTTTTCCTTCACCTGAGGACGGAAACAGATCCAGTTTCCGAAACGTCGTGTTTTTATTAGTTATCTTAAAAACCAGGACGATGGATAAAGTCCAAAAACCTAATATATTAGTGTGTTATACACCATCGTCAGAATCCTATAGTAACTACTTGTCTTAATCTCAGTCAGTCTTGGTACCTGGTGACTTATATGGTAAAACAGTACATAGATAAACCAATCTGGAAACAAGACCAAGCCAAGCAAACACATGACTCTGCCCACTAGCTCCCACTTGGTTTGTGCTCAGTTTCAATCACATGCTATGGGTTGGTATATAGACAGGAAGGTTTGGATGCAATTTCACATTAGATCCTGATGATGCAGATAGATATGGTCTCTGAAATGTCTGTCATTTTTAAACTACTAACACAGCTGATAGCCTAGGAAATTTTATTAGCTTTAGCTACCATGAAAGCTTCAGATCTTACAACTCCTGAATGAGTCTCATAATCCTTTAAGTACCAAAAGTGTCTTATAAAACAAAACTTGCTGTACTTACTTTGGACTTAGCAATTCTTGAATGAGTTTTTCACGATCCTTGAAGCACCCAAGGCTGGAGATAGCCTGGAGCACATCTGGATCCATTGCATCGATGGAGGGAATAATGTGTGTCTGCACCACTTCCATCATTGGAAGTTCCAATTCCAGCTCTCCCTTCCCACCAGCAGTCACCCAGGGGTGACGATTTATGTCTGCCAGCTGGAAATAAATGACCATTATGTTTATCTCTTATAATTGAGGCAGGGCCATTCAGCTAAGGAATTATCAGACATCAACCAATGCTACATACGGGAACATAATTTTCTTTATACAGAGTGTTCCATTGCATGTTGGCCAATATGGTCTAGAGGTCATTTGGAGTAAAAAGTATCCAATAAATTACAGGTTCATTCAACACTGTTATGAAGTGCTAGGGGAGTGAACTAGATCTGCTGTAACTTGAGCAAGTTCCTGCTTGTATGCAGTCTAGGGTAGTATGGCTGTGTTGTGTTGCAGTACAGTTGTAGTCAAACAAGTTTACAATTGAAGAATATGTTTTATTCGTTTCATACATGGTTCTTGCAATAGAAATGGTAGGGTTAGTGTGGTGGAATACCAACAATTATATCCACTTCACAGAATTCCATGATGCAAAACATTCAAAAATATAACATAGAACTTTGAGGGGGTCTGGTTCCTCCCCATTAGTGAATGAAGAATGAAAACAGTGGTGTGAAGATGTTCTGGCAACAGTGCAATGAAGCTCAAGTACAAGTATATGCAGAATTTCCAGTACAGTAAGTGTAGCACAGGCTCAGGTATGGAGAATTCTGCACGATGATTTTTATCCTTAGCACCTCCAAAGAGTATAACACTTCTTACTGGGAGAATGCACCAACCATGTATGATTTTGTGAATAGCTACAACAATGCCTACGCATGCTGCATGACATTCTATCCACAAATGAGCCCATTTTACCTGGGATGGTAGCACCAACACAAAGAACTCACAATCTTGTGCCCACGAAAATTCATACATGGTAGCAAAGTGTCATTTTCAGCATCAATTTCAGCTAACGTGTTTTGGAGTCTTAGGCAATAACCTGAATGAACCACATGTTATGAAGGGAAGTTTAATGGCTCTGTATTGCAGTAACTTTCTGAGAAATTAATTACCAGTGCATTTAAAGAATATGCCTCTTGCAACTTGAAGACAAATCTAGCTACATGACAGACCACACATTTCAGCACAGCAGTATCAGAATTTGTGAATGAAGATAATGAAGAAAGGTGGATAAGAAGAGGTGGACCAGGGGCTTTGCCTGCTCAGTCTCTCAACTTATACCCATTAGATTATATCTGTGGGGTTGCATGGAGTCAAAAATGCATCACAGTGGTAAACCCAGAGCAAGACATCAGTTCATAAAGCCCATTGATGAAGCTGTCATTATCACAAATAAATTTTGATGTATGCAGTGGCAGCAACATTCAATGGCATGATTTCCAGCATACAGCCGTGCAGTCTATTCATTTGCAATTCAAACATGTGTTATGCTAACCTTGAAGCTTAACTCTCGTAAGCATTTGAATTGATGATGATAATAAAGGTATGATGAAGAGGCATTTTTTAGTCAGTGTAACACTAAGCACTTAACTGATAAGAGTGTTGAATTAATGTACAGTTTTTTAGACATTTTTTGCTCCAAATGACATGTAGAGCACACTCCTCAAGAATAAATGTGAATTCAAAAGGTGATGCCTGCTGATACAATAAAATAAGAGCAACTGATTCATATATTGCAAAAAATGTCATATATACTGTACCCATGCTGCTTTGAGTTGTACCACAGAAATGAGAAAGGCTGACAAAATGACGATTTAGTGTCATTAGAATCAGTTACAATTTTATTACATTACAGCTACACTTTCTTATAATATGTGGTGTGTTCAAAAAGTATCGATCCTTTGGTTGGCAGAAATACATTTATTGATTTGGAGGTACAAGACCATAATCCCTTTCAAAGTAGTCTCCTTGGTAATGCACACACTTCTTCCAGCACTTCCGCCATTGTTGAAAACACTTCTGGAATGTGTCTTTTGGAATGGTGATCAGCCAGGCCATTGCATTCCACATGATGTCTTCTCTTGACTCAAATCGGGTTCCTTTCAGTGGCATTTTCAGCTTGGGAAATAGCCAAGAGTCACACGGAGTCATGTCGGGGCAGTAGGGAGCGTGACGAACCACAGGGATGTTGTGTTTGGTGATAAAAGTCTGAATCAGATGCGTAGAATGGGCGGGTGCGTTATCATGATGGAACTGCCAAGTTTTTGTTGCCCACAGATCTGGTCCTTTGCACCTCACAGCATCACAAAGGCGACAAAGGACCTCCTGGTAGTATTCCTTTGTGACGGTTTGGCCTTGTGGTGCGTACTCATGATGCACAACCCCACGGGAGTCGAAGAAAACAGCCAACATGACCTTGACATTGCTGCGGACCTGCCGTGCTTTTTTTGGCCTCGGGGATGTCGGATGTTTCCACTGTGACGACTGCATCTTGATTTCCGGGTCGTACCCATAAACCCACGACTCATCGCCTGTGATAATGGTGTTCAGAAAGTTGAGGTTACTGTTTGCATTGTCCAGCATGTCCTGTGTGATTTCCAGACGGTGTTGCTTCTGCTCCATTGTTAGCAGTTTCAGTACGAATTTTGCGGACACTCTCCTCATGCCCAAATCCTCGGTCAGAATTGAATGTACCAATCCAATGCTTACCCTTATCTCGTTTGCAAGTTCTCGGACTGTGATACGATGGTCCTCCATGACCAAAGTCCACACTTGCTCAATGACATTCTCATTTCAGCTTGTTGAGGGTCTGCCTGATCGCGTTTCGCTGTCCACTGATATGCGGTGAAGCGGTTGTACCACTCCTTTATCCGTGAGTTGCTCATGGCATTGTCCCCAAAAGCCTGTTGAATCTTGCGAATGGTTTCCACTTGGGTATCGCCAAGCTTTTGGCAAAATTTGATGCAATATCGTTGCTCATGTTGTTCCGTCATTTTACACCTTACTGAAATCTGATGAGCGCTCACTACACGTCCTCACTCATAGGCTGACTGCCAGTGACTGACGCTTTCTGCAGGCGGGAAAAAATTCACGACTGCGCATGAAAGTCCCCTCCACATCTCCACTGAAGGGAGCCTCCCACACTTCATTGGTTTACGCAGGAAAAAAGAAGGTTCAATACTTTTTGAACACACCACATATTTATACCATATTACATTACATTACATTACATTTATTCAGCATTCCATAAATCCTTACATGGTTTTTTCAAAACACCACGGATATAGAAGTAGTCAACATGAGTAAGCATAATTACATACTGCATCACATTTGTGCAATGTCATAACAGTAGCCATATATAAATATTTACAAAAACATGAATACATGAATACATGAACATGGATATAGAAGAAGTCAACATGAGTAAGCGTAATTACATACTGCATAACAATTGTGCAATGTCATAACAGTTAGCCATATATAAATATTAATA